GGATAATATTAAATATCTATAATAATATTAAATATCTAGGATTGACACTCGACAATAAAATGACGTGGGTACCAGGTTTCACAAGAACCAATCTTGCTTACCTAGCCCTCAACAAAATTTATCCGCTAATAGCCAGAAATAGCAAACTCAAAAAACTTACAAAGTACAAAAAACAAAACAAGAGATTCTTTAGAATCATATTAAATAAACAACGTCACTTCAATAGCAAAATTATACAAAATAGCTAATATGTCAACAATCAACGAATTTATACAAGAATCCTTCAGCTGCTCATACAATCATAACTATAGCAATCCACTAATGTGGAACAATGTCAAGGAGATAAAAATCAAGATTAGGCTACCAAACATGCGGTAGCAAACAAACAATAACAGAAACAATTTCAAGTTACAGCAGGTTTTTTGAAACTTTTCCTTTTGAAACCTCACAACATTCACAACCAAAAATTCTTAAATATAGGTAATAGGGTAGGATAAAAACCCTGTAGGTAGGGATAGCTCAGTCGGTAGAGTATCAGACTCTTAATCTGAGAATCCAGGGTTCGAACCCTTGTTCCGGCGAAAAAAAAGACATTGTCCTTTAGGGCAACAGCACGGGAGAGCTCTGTATGTATAAAAAGTTCCCGGAGTTTCTCCCAACGTGCGGAGGATGGCCGTCATGGAAGTTTTAGTCGGTAAGAATCCGACACTATCTGGATCTTCCCTTAAAGAGACATTCAGGTGTCTTACGAAGATTTCCTCCACGTAAAAAAAAAAAGATAAAAAACCTTAAGTATTGTAATGAAATAAACATCAGGACAAAAAAAGAAAAACAATCTTGTTTCAATTCACTGAGTTTCGCTAGTTTAATTCTGGACTTCCGAGTGACGAGCATTTTTATTTTTATAATTTCTATTCTACCTGAAACTTTTATTCTTAAGAACATTTATTTATCTGCTCTTACCGGAATTTGTAATATAAGAACATTTTTCGAAAAAATAAATTCTAATTCCTATTTAGAAAAATTGCTTAACTCTTTTTATCTCTGTGCTAAACTCGTGTTCCTCTTGCAAAGGGGAAGAAGTTCGATAGGAAAACTTCTATTCTAATTGTAAAGTTTAGACATAAGACAGCTGCAGCTATTAAATGTTCTTTTTTTTTATATCAAAAACAACGAATGCTAACTGATATGAAAAAATATCTACATTTTGAAATCTTGTCTACTTTTTCTTGATTCTAATTCCATTCTAATTTTACAAATGTTTGTGAAAAAAATTAATACTTATAATTTTATTTTTGATATCACTTACTAGTAGTACACGGTAATCCTGGTCCAATCCAAACGTTCAGAATTTTTCCACTCGGCTTTAAAATTTCTTTATTGCCGTATTCCATTTGTATAAAATGTATTTGTCTTGTACCTCCACTTCCCCATCCTTCCTTCTTGACTTTAAATTCTAAACTGTAAAAATTAAAGCAATATCAAGATAAATATATGGCAATCAATTTGTTACACTGTTATTTGACGTTTGTTGCATTAAAGATCTTACTTGTTACTAAATTTTATGTTTAGAATATGACTGGTTTCTTCGACGTATCTTTTGCTAATATTAATTAAGAATTCTGTCTTAAATATTAATTCTAGTAAGTTATCATAATCTTCTTTTACATGAATAATAAGAAAACCATCCTGTAATAAAATGTTCATAGATAAAAGTAATCATCTGATAATTAAAGAATCATTTGATAGTAATATTAATAGAAACAGCACTATCAAAAGCCATACGATTACACATGTCACACCTTTACAAAGAAATTGACACAACTCGAACAAGTATATTTTTCAGAAAAAGCAAAAAACTGATTTTGAACGAAATTATGTTAGGTTCATACTGAGCAGAACAGCTTGCTAGCAGTTCCAAGCTTCTTCGCTTGGTATTTGTGGGCTTAGAGTGATCATGGAATTCAGAACAATCGAACAATGTTACAAAGCAAAATCATTAATGTGTCCACATACGCTTTGGGTTCGCGAATAGAATAAATTCTTTGATGTACTGCTTAGATCTTATCCAGACTGCTGTTTCCAATTAATTTGATAATCCTGTTTCTTTTTTTTTTGAATTGTCACTTTTTTTGCGAGAATACAATTATGAATATGCATGAAAATAATAAGAATGTATAATGACTAATAATAAGGTACAAAATGAATATGAAATGAACATGTGTGCTTTATGATGTTATAATAGCAACTATTTTTGCATATGATGAGTGTCAGAAAAAAAAGCGATAAATAAAAGAACAAAGATTCATGATCATCAAATGTAAGCAAATTATAGTAATATAAGCAAAATTTAAAAATTTTCATTAGAAAAATTAAAATAAAAAAATAGGAAAACTTTACAATACAATTATTTACATACAAGCTTCTATTTATACAGTTTAATCTTTAAAAATATATTGTTTTATATTTATGAAATATTTAAAAAAATTATAAATTGATCATTTTGATAGTTCTAGTATTAAGAAAATATTGATATATGACGAAACAACATATAAGAGATACAATTATTACAGAATAGAATTTTATATTTTCTAAAGTATGTAGTAAGAGTATACTTTCATATACTAACTATACATAGTAAGTATAAGTAAAAAAGTATACTTTCCTAAAATATAAAAATGCCTATATTTCTAAACTATATTTCTAAACTATAAATATTCGACCATGTAATTTCATCTTAATGTATTAGATAATAAAATAAAATAATAAATAGACAATAAAATAACAATAAAATAACAATGTAATTGTATGCAAAGGAGAGTATAATGATTTGAGTTACGAATGAGATTTACAAAAATTCATGGAATTGTTTGATTTTGCAGAATTTTCTTTTTTTTATGTAAAATGTTTTATGGGAAATGAACTCAACAAATTAAAAATAGACGCTATCATTTCGCAAAATGAGTTTAATTGCTATTTAATTATTGTTAAAATACAGACATAAAGATCAACAATTGAAAGTTTAGTAATTTTTTAATTTACAATGCATTTATGTTTAAATAAATTAATGTTAGTTTTTAAATTAAATTATTTATTATGATCTGATAGATAAATATCTATGAATATAAATTGATATAAATATAAAAGTTATTATCTAAAATATTAAAACTCCTGAAAATTGTAGTAACACTAAATTTATGCTTTGCTATGTGTGAAAGATATAAAACAGAATAGATTCTGTGTAAATCAATAAAAAGTTTATGAATATAGTTTACAAGTAAGATGTGTAAACAAAAGTAAATTTTTATATTGGATAATTGTAAGAATTATTTTTATGTATGATTATTATTCCGTAAATGATCATTTAACTTGTACGAAAGACTTAATTCACTAACACCATTTTTTCTTTATTGTGATGATGATGATTATCATAAAAATAATTGAAATAATACAGTAAATGTAACAATAAATTTAATTACTTACTTGAAGCTTACTTAATGACACATGACTAATTTGACTGAATGATAATTTCCGTTTTATTATTTCTATCAGTTTCCCTTTCTGTGGGCCCTTTTTGATTTGTTCTCGACCAATAAGATATAAATATTTGTTAGTTAGAATTAACTCTTTTCTACTGATCTGCAACCCAACATTAATTTTTTATTAACATATAATATAATATTAAATATAATTTATTTATAAAAATATAATTTTTACAAATTTTTGTAATGTTTATAAATACCTTGAATCTTCTGTCATACTTCTTCACAACTTCGGCGAAGAAAACTTTTTCTCTCCTTCCAATTAAATTTAATATTTGATGTTTGTCTTCCAATCCAATGTAATCACCCATGAAGTGTCTGTTTAAACTAGCTCGTCTACGTTCTTTGCGGCCAAACAACAAATCAGCTGCCTCCTGCTTTTCTTGTTCTTGCCTCTTTCGAGCGAAATATTTCTTGAACGCTTTTTGAATTACTTTAGCATACATATTGTATCTTCGATCTCTTGCTTCTTCTAACATGAACAGCTATTGACAATAATTACGTTGTCAATTTATATTGGAGATTTATACGAAATGTTTCCATATGTTTTGTAAACAACCATAATTTTGCACGTAGATAAATTTTGTCGATTATTATCATCAAAAAATTTAAAAATCTATTAATGAGAAATATTTCAATTTCGCACAAAAAATAACTTATGAAATAATAATTCAAATATTAGTATAATTAAGAATGTAGTATATACTAGACTAGTCAGTAATTAGACTAGTATAAAATTAATATAAGAAGTTACAAAACACACACATTATGTACATACATGCTGTTCCATTTAGGTTTGCCATTTCAAATACCTCGTTATTTTCGAAGATATAAAAAAATTTATACTGAAAGTTATTCAGTACAGAGAGAATCATAATATGGCAATGTGATTTTTTTAATGGAGAAATTTCTGAAATTTCAAATCATTTTCGCTTCTTTAAACGAGATGATATGTCCTTTTATCCACTAATCGATGCCAGTTCGATGCATTCTCTATTAAAAAATATTACTCTATATATGTCGAAAAATTATTAGTTTAGGACGTATTTTAACTTTAATTTTATAAAATCTGTATATGAAAGAAAGATAGTTATGAATACAAGAATATCCATGATATTTGAATACAAGAATAGATAGATACATTGAATACAAGAATATACCACTCATCTTTCCTCTTCATCCATACGATAAATTTTACATAATTGAAATTAAAATATGTCGTAAATTAACAATTTTTCGACATACACAGATTAGTACTTTTTAATAAAGAATATCAAGTTGCATCGATTAATGGATGAAAAGAAATTTAAAAAAGAATAAAAATAAAATAAAAAGAATTTAAAAAAGTGGAAGTTATATAGATGAAGGATTTCTCCAAAATCCTTTCATCCATGTATGTAAAAATTATTACTGCCTTGTGGTCTCCTCAGTAAGTAACTTCTGTTAATAAAATTTTTTAGTAAACTTATATAATATATAATATAACGCATATGTTTTGTGACTTTTTACTAACTTTATATTAGTCTATTAACTAACTAGTCTAGTATACTATATTAATTTTAGCATATAATTATTTAATTATTTTATAAGTTATACCTTTATGCGAGATTGAATAATTCTTATTGATCAATAGATCGTTAAATTCTTTGATGAAAATTACAGGTGGGACAGCCTGAATAAAATCAATTTTTTAATAATTACAGTATTATTTTTTACAAACATCATTAAAGAAATTATTATAATATAACTGTTATATTTTTTAGAAATAATTAAATAATAATTTAAATTGTTATTTAACATGATTAGCTTAATTAAGAAAAATCGAAACTTACACTTTCGGGAGCTTTTATAAATAATTTTGTTTTTCCAAGCTGATACTTTGATCGATCAATATTAAGACTTCCTAATATCCACTCGATTCCTTGTTTTTCGTTACCGGTCCAACGTGGCCAAGTCTCTTTTGTGAGAATTCTGTATCTTTGTAAAAATTTGGCGAATGGCCTTCTATACGCAAAGCCAGCCCTACGTATTCTAATATTTTCTTTTAATCCTAAATATTCTACCTGAATCGTATGAAAGATGAAAACATTAATCTGCTAATATGTAATTATACGTACTTTGTATTATTTGAAAATGTTCCATTAATATTTGGACATTAAACATTGAAATTGTTTTAATTTTGTCAAAAAAAAAAAAAAAAAAA